GCGGGGCTGACATCACCCGGGAGGGGGGGCCCCGGCCTGCCAGAGGGGCTCCGAGGGCCTGGGGAGACGGCACATTGCTTTAGAGGTCGGGGCTGCCGGAGGACCCCGGTGCCCCGCCGTCCCACGCTCTGAGGGAGGCTGGGAAACCAGAGGACAGAATGGGTTGAGGCCAGCGTGGGGTGCAGCTCACGGCAGCCCCCACTTCTTTCCCTCAGACAGCCCGAGTGGGGCCAGGCTATGCTTGCTGGAAGTCCAGCCGTCCCCACTGCTTCCACCTGGCTGCCCCCATTTCTACTCCAAGCGTTCGCTTGGGGACGGGGGTCTGGCCTCTCTCACCCTGGCTGTGGAGGCACCACGGGAAGGGGTGCAAAGCGTAGAGGGTCCTTGAAGTTGCCTCAGCCACTTGGGCCGAGGGGTCCCCCTGGGCTGAACCCCACCGAGCAGACTCCGGGTGTTGTCCTGGGAGCTGAGCCTTTCTCAGCCCAGGTGGTGGGGGTGCTTGGCCCCCTTGGTCAAGAGACCAAAGCCACAGACAGGTTCAGAACCAGCTCTGGCACCACTTGCTCTGTGTCCCTTGATGTCTTCATCTAGGAAGTAGAATAATAGCATCCTTGGGTTTATTGTGAAGATCTTTCTTTTTTTTGAGACTCACTATGTAGCTTAGGCTGGCCTTGAATGCATTATATAGCCAAGGCTGGGTTTGAACTCCAGGCAATCCTCCTGCCTCAGCCTCTGGAGTGCTGGGATTACAGGTGCCTGCGATCACGCTTGGCTATTGAGGATTAAATGAATGAATGTGTGTAAAACCCAGAACTTCCTGGCATTTGGCATTGTCGTTGTTAGTCCTGGCACTGCCTGACTCTGTACCTGACCCCAGGACCCTGAGGGCCTCCCCACTCTGTTCCATTACTGACCCCCTCGGGGCTCCTCAACCAGAGGCTCCTGGGGAGAAGCCCCCCACTTAGGTCAGGTCTTCTCCCTGGCTTCTCTCGGGGTCCCCACCTGTCCACCCAGCCCCCTGTGTTTCCTGCTGCTCGTGGCAAAGCCCTGGGCTCCAGGCCTCCGGTCCCTCGGGGCCTGTGGGCCTGGGCCGCTGCTGGGGGCGTCACTGTGCGTGGTCTACGCTTCCTGGCAGAGCAGGGAACTCAGTTTACAGAGCTGGGCAGTGTGCCGTGTGGGCCACGCCAGGGAGGCTGAGGGCGGTTTATGGGCCGCTGTGGGGCCGAGGAAGAGCAGACCGGAAGTGGGACACCAGCCACCGCCCTCGAGTTATCCGAAGGGAAGGTGAAGCCGTCCCAGGCAGGGCCGCGTTGGAGCTGGGTGAAGGGGTCCCTGGGTAGATCTGAGCCTCGCTGGTGGCTGAGCTGCGGAAGCGCTGGCCTTGACCTTGGGTTCCTTTCTCTGCTCATCCCAGGGGCGCTTTGTGACCCCTGGGCCTCACTTCCCTCCCCCAATGCCTCCGTGTGGCGCAGCCCGCGTGAACCGGGCACCCCCCACCGCCGCTCTTGTCTCTGCTGTCTGTGCGTCCGCCAGGCGCGGCACTGTGGACCCGCGCGGGGGTGGCAGGGACAGGGTGACATGCCCACACCCCCTCCAGTCCCTGAACTTGTCTCTCGGCGCAGGGCTCAGAGACCTTCGGCGACAACTGGCAGGGCCACCCCAGTGGTGGGGACGAGGTCCAAAGGCAGTGGTGGGTGGGGAGCGACCCTGGCCTAATGCCTGCTCTGTCCCCAGGCTCAGGCTGCCCCGTGGGCTCAGGCCCAGAGCCCAGAGCAACCAGCACAATAGCGTCCAACAGCTGGAGCACCAGCGGCAGCCCCGGGGAGCCCCGGGAGGATGGGCCCGAGGGCCTGGACAAGGGGCTGGACAACGACGCGGAGGGCGTGTGGAGCCCGGACATCGAGCAGAGCTTCCAGGAGGCCCTGGCCATCTACCCACCCTGCGGCCGCCGCAAGATCATC